TCTGCTGCAGGGTCTCCACCAACTCAACTGCCCCCTTTGGACATAAAGGAGTTCAACTCCAAGCTTCAACCGGATGTCTCAACTAAGTCTCTGAGCCCAACTACCCAACGGAGAACTCATTTCGGCCACTTGTATTCGCAACCTCGTTCTTTCGATCACTAACCCGAGCTTGTGACCAAAAGTGAGGGTTGGAATGTTGATCGGCCATCAATCAAAAACTTTGTCTTCAAATCCTTCAAACCATTCCTTTGCATTTCTATAATCTATGTATTTTCTTTTAAAAGTTGTGAAAATTATTCATCATCTACTCCAAAGTTTCTGAAGGTTCACTTGAGGAAACCCTTGTTCAAATCAAAAGAGAGTATAATATAGTGTGCAACAATTTCAATATGTGTGGGCTGCCAACTATTTTAAATCTTAACTAAAATGTGGTTTTATTATCTAAACAAAACTTTAAATCAGGCACATAGTTAGTGAACAAATATCTCCTCTTACCCACCTTAAGTTATTCCATCTCACACACACACACACACACACAGACACACACACACACACACACACACACACACACACCTACGTCAACCCCATATGAGAACAATTACATGGCCCGCTCCTGTGAATAAGTTAGTCTAATCAAGTTCTCTCTTCCCTGACATCCGTACCTAAATCCCCTGCTCCATGAAAAAAAGCATCCCCTACTTTCCAAAGACACCCCGGCACCCCAACCTTCCATTATTCCTTCCTTCCTGTACTGTCTGCACCCAGCGCACGTAGGAAAGACAAGGTCAGAATGATGACAAAATTTTCAGAAAGAAAAAGTTAAAGCTTTGACTTAATTTCAAGTTTTAAATTTGCACAGGAGACGTATAACTTAAGGGGTTTTTAGCTGCTTCTTAAAAGGTATCCACATAGAAAAAGAAATAGGAAAAAATTGAAAGAAGAGTTTGACAGCCGCGACTTAAAAAGTGCAGTTGGTTTTAAAGCTGGAGCAAAACTAAGCAGCTTAGGTTAACATACATATTTATTTAAACGATTAAAATTCTCATGATTTAAAGGTTCAGTGTGTAGAATCTAGTGATATCTAGTGGTGAATTTGCATGTTGCAGCTGAATACCCCTCACCACACCCTCCCCTTCCAAACATGACAAAGAACCTGTGGTAGTCTTCGGTTGCCATAAAAACTCAAAACGTGTTTCATTTGTCCAGCTTGGACTACTGTAAAAAACATGGCTGACTCCGTAGAGAGGACTCACTCCCGATGTAAATATAAACGGTAAAGAAAACAATTTGTACAATTTCGATGATTACACATCACTAGGATTATATCATATTCAATTTCTGCCAATAGATCCCTTTCACCTAAATCTGACACACTGAATGTTCTACACAATCTCATACAAATATCCTCAATATGTACAGTCAAAAAAGCAGTGATAGTTATGACAGTGATTTATTACCCAGTAAATATTATATATTAAATTCACTCTTGTTTTTAAAACTGTTGAGTTTGGTAAGATTACATAAAATGGAACTTTAAGTCCCAAGAATCTTTATTCAAGGAACTAAAAGGTTCCCATAGACCATTAATCACCTGCTTTCCACATCGGTCAAACGCCTGCTGACGTCTAACAAGTGACAGTTACAACGAGCTCTTCCACTCCAGTCCACTAGGAGGCTGTAATGCAGAATACTATAAAACAAAGGTGATACTAAATACACCAAACCACAGTATGATAACAGTAAACATGGAGGAGACTCCAACAATGCTGTGGTTGCTCATGATTTGTAAATGGGAATATTGAGTCGATGTTGAAAAAGAGACAAAATGCTTGACTTAAAGTAAGAAAACAAGTTTCAGGACATAGTACGCTGAGTCATAATCTGCAGGAAGAACTTCTCTCCTGTCTGCAGGAGTGTGTGGGACACTCGCTTCACACAAACTCACAATCACATTTATTTAGTTATAATCGATGATGTCGGATTATGAATCCAGGTGGATCCAATTTCAATTAATTGCCCAGCCCTACTGCAGAGGCTCATAGTTCCTGGGAAAGGTTCCTATGGTGGAAAGGCAGCAGACAGGTTGTAGCATAGCGCCTTTTAATGCACCTGATAATAAGCTTCACAGTGACATTGTGAATCGCATTTTAATGATCCAGTGATCACCTGCTAAGTCACATAAAAGGAACAGTGCAGTAGGACAAAATGGAACAAAGAGCCAGAGTTCAGCAATATTTCCTCGTTAATAACAAGTGGAGCAAATCAAATCCTTCAATGAGTGAAATAGCCTGACAGGGGCATGGGTGAGCAGTGTCTGGAGTTCACCTGCACTAGAATCCAGGAAATAACTGAATCATTTAAGTGATTGTATAAAATATTTATGTTGATTTTCTAAGGCTGAGTTTGATTACATGTATCTGACATAGTAAAGATAAAGATATACCTTCATAAAAACTACAAGTCTTCCCAACAGAGAGCAAAAGAGAAGGTAGAACAAAGAGGACGTGATAAAATATATAGTGGGAGTGGAGATAATAAAGATGGGATATTACAGAACATGCACTAATACTCAGTCATGAAATTCCTGTATTTTGTTGTTATTCTTCCGGTTAATGTTAATTTTCAGATGAAAAACGTGTACATGCATGTGTGTGTGTGTGTGTGTGTGTGTGTGTGTGTGTGTGTGTGTGTGTGTGTGTGCATCCTGTTTGCCAGTTACCCTGCTGTCTGTTTTCACCTCATGTACATTCACGTGTCTAGTGCCATAAATCAACATGTGACAGAGTGCAGCTAAAGCTCCCATGATTCCCTCATTCTAGGGCCAACTCTCGCTGCTCAACATCCCATGATGCCTCTACTGGGTCTTCAGTACAGCTGCTTGTCTCCTGGCAACCAATGTCTCCCATAATGGCACACTGAGTACTCACTGTGCCAGCACACATCGCGTGTGACAAAAAAGGGTAAAGGCTTCATTTAATTTGTGATGTGTCCAACTGTCAGTGACTTCCGGACCAAAGAGAGTTCAGACTCAAACACAGTACACACTTATGACTCAGACGGTGGTCATCGGCTGTGATTCATCAAAATTGGGAAACATTTTAATCGGAAGTCATCCTGATTACATTTCTCCATTTTGGATCCATGGCACAAAGACGTCACACACATCAGAGTCTCCTTGCACAAATTTAAACAATCCAATTCTTCTAAGAGAACCAAAAAAAAATCCAGTCTATCCTCAATGAGGCTTTGATTCAAAGCAAAGTTGGGTATTAAAAATAAGACTGCTGAAGAAAATCTTCTAATTGGTTTATTGGTCCAAAGTTAAGCATCATGATATGTCTTGCAAAGAGACTAAAAAGGATAACGACCTTTTCGCTAACTTATGAACAATTCACACTGAGAAACCGTTGGTGCATTAACTGTATACTATAAGAATCAAACACAAGAAAGATACAGTATGTTGTGACAGGTGTCCATGGCTTTGGTTGCTGGGCAACTAAAATATACAGCTATTTTTGTAAGATTAAAGTTCGAGCTCTGCTTTAATTGTGTGCCAGTTGTGACATCACAGTGACATGTGCTGCTCAAAATGCAGAAACTACAGATTTTCCATTAAAAGGCTGTTTATTTGGTCCTGTCATTAGCCTGAACATAGTAGAATAAGGGACGTTAGTGGTAAGCAGAGGTTGCTTTAGACTTTGTAGTTACTCCTCAATATGACAGAGAGGGTTCGAGAAATGTCATTATAATATACAGTTATATATTTTTGTATAAAATTGAGATAGGAGGGTTATTCAAAAGCATTTAGTTTTCAAAACAATATGATCGTATTAATATTTAATATGAAGAACAAACAACAAACAGATTATGCATTTATGCAGTCAGAGACTTCAACTGTGTGCTCACTTTTCATTTCATTTCTCCATCAGCACATGAGGGATTTTTTTACAATGTCAGTGTAGGAAGAATAAACACAGCATCTGTGTAACAAAACAGGCAAGTATGACCAATTTACAAGAACTCAAATTGAACTCCAGCTGTAGCCGATCCTGAGCTCAAATCATCCTCATTGTTTGCATCCGACTTATTATGGATGTTTGCGAGTGCACTTTTAAACACGTCAAGGGAGATTTCTGCCTCTGCAGCTGTTTTTACATCGGTCTCGAAAACAAGCAAAATGGTGTTTTCAAATTTGTGCTGAAGGCGATCAGATCAGAAAACAGGGCTCTCACTTATCTCAAATAATGCTATGATCCTCTCGCTGTTGTGTTCACTTAGCAATCTTCGTCTGACAGCGTAATTTGTTGAAATGAATACCCACACTGAGTGTCGTCACGCAGAAAAAAAAAGGTGTGACTCACAAATCCTTAGAAGGTGTCATTACATCAAGGAATCACTTGATGAGTTCCACAAAGCAACTCCTATTTACTTTCAACAGAAAGTAAATTTCCCTCCTTTCCAGTAGAACAAGGTCTGGAAGTGCTTTCGTTCCATGTGGCGAATGAAAGCAGATGGATTATGAGTCAAGCTTAGACAGACTTAACTTGCTTTTCAAACACATGCACACACATTGGAATTCATTGGCGTCTAAACACAGAGGAATCAGGTCAAATTCTTTAGGAGATTTTGTTACCTAGAAATAACTACTGAAAACGGAGCTACCTGCTGTTCTTTAACCACAATCATATGTAATCAGTTACGCTAATGAGTTCGCTAGGACAATTAATGAGGTCTCACGTAACTCAAGATTAAAAGGAAACCGTTATGTACGATATGGTATTACAGCAAAACAGAATATACCGTATTGAGCAAGAAGGAGTTTAGTTGTTGTTGGCACTACAATAAAAGACCATGAGTGATGTTATATAAAGTCTGGAAGCCAATGATTTTTGGTCTGTTTTCCTTAAATGAAATTAGGAGGGAAAATCAAATTTATACAAAGGAGAAGAAAACAAGGATGGATGAACGAATGTACAGGCAGAGGAAGAGGTGGGACTTACTTCTTCTGCTGATTCTCCTTCCTGTCAGCAGAACCCAGACTCTGTAAATAAGAGAAGAAACAATGGCATTAGATGCAACAGGCTGCACACATTGTACTTGCCTTCAATTCAAACATCAGCATGTTGATTAAACTGAACTAAATTCATTACAGTTACACAGAAACAGAGTTACCCTGCTTTCTCCCCTTATGGACTTTGATTTATTACAGTCAAGGTGAACAATATGACTCGGCTCACCCAGCAGTCTGGACATTTAACTTCAATAAAGCACAGAATGATCAATGTCACCATGTAAGAGCCAATTACATGGGTAATGACCTCGCCTTCTGTGGAAAATAATTAGCTCCTGGGCTGCAATTACAAACACTTATCCAGTCAATTTATTTTATTCACATGCATTTATCAAAAAATGTGAGCGCTCGTGAACACACAGAGAGATGAGCTTAAAAGCCTTTTCTCTGTCGATGAAACTGAAGTGTGAGAAAAAAAACGTCTGCCTGTTCTGATCGACAGGAGCCGATCACACATTGTACCCCCCCCCCACCTCCTGTCCACATCATCTGGAGGTGTGTCACTCTCAGAGGTGACACATGCTATGACACACAGAAACACGCACATAAGACAGAAACACTCAATGCTTACAAGTGGCTGTGTTTGTCCAAACTATCGCCACCTCCTACACACCAGTAGCACCTTAGAGACTCACAGACGATCTGATGCAACTATTCTCAGCCATAGCGTAGGTAATTGTGTAGAGGTGTTGAGAGATGAATAAAATCTACTCAACCAAATAAAAAATATGTGATGCTCACACTAAAACAGCACAGACGAATAATATGTAAGAGGTCCAAATTAGAGATGTTCCAAAACCTATTTACTTTCCCGATACTGATGCGTGTATGTTGCGTATTGGCGGAAAAGAGTACCAACTAATTATTTATAATAGGTATTTTAACAACTGTATGCTATTGTGTTTCACTAGCATACAGTACACGTTTAGGGTATCCGTCACCGTTTTACTTTCTGGGACATTCCAGTGTGAAATTTTGCCAAATTTCTGCTGAAATTTTAGCTCACTCTGGCTAATGCAACACTGCCCAAAGTAGAATAGGAGTAGAACGCAGTACAAAATCATACAGACCTTGTCAAGCCTATATTCATTGAGTAAACTGAACAAATGTTTGTGTCACAGAATGAATCAGATCAGACAAGTTGCTCATCATGCGATTACACCGTCAGGCTTCTATGCATCTATGTTCTTCTGAAGCTTGGAAAAATGCATCATCATTTCACAGCCTCTTGTGTTTCTGCCAAAAAGTTGTTGTGGGCCACCGCGTGTCACATGGCCTGCAACTGACTGTGGCCACAATGTCCACATTCCCTCTCATTTAGACACTGTTACTAACCATAACTCTACATTGTGAAACATCATATATAATTTTGCCTGAACGCGAAAGCCACTAATGGATATCCCTAAAAGTTCTTATGTGTGGACGAGGCATTCCCTCAATTAGAATCTCAAACTGCACATCAGTGAGAACTGTTGTGTTTCGAGTGTTCATTTAAATGAGCAGTGTAGTGATGTTTGGATCATTGAATGACTCCTCTAGTCTGCCGTTTTGAGCAAGTGCTTTTATTCATGCAGTGACATTTTGACCAGCGATCGACTTCACCGTGTGTACAGGGCTGCGGACGAGCATCATCCTCCTGGTGGGACAGGATGTGGTACACAAAGCGACTGACCTTTTTACCACCAGCTCCCCAGCAGAGCCCTCAGGTAATGTCAGTCCAAGACCATGACTATCGTTTATTATAACTATTGTAGAGTCGTCTAATAGGCTGAAATGACGCCATACGAGCATGACTCAGCATGACTCACTAGGAAATAGTAGGTGGTTTGATTTCTTGAAGGCAGACTTACTAAAATACTTTTACAACATAATTACATTAAAAAGACAATGAATTGAAGTCTGCTGAAATTACATTGACATTGAGTGATAAAAACAATATTTTCTGATCATTAACAAGATTATTATGCCAAAGAATCATCATATTAACTACCTGCTTGTTAAATTTTCTTATTCCCACTCAATAATGATTTGAAAACCCATTATATACAATAAATCAGTATATCGAAGTACACCCATTGAAATGAACCAGCATCATTTCATATCATCAAGGCAGATTTTGTGCAATTAGAGATTTGAATTTGATTTTCATTGTCAGTATTCATTGATGACATCTTTGATCACATGTACAACCAGCCACTAACTTGTATCATAGTGTTCTTGCAACTTGTCTTTTGCACTCACTCAACTTCACCCACAGAAAGCATCGCTAACCATCATCTCAGAACAGGAGGAGGATTTAAATCAGGATTAACGGCTCAAACCTTTCTCTTTTCACAAACTGTGTACCATGTCTTACTCAATCCCTAAACCCCCAAGATAAAAAGTAAAATATAAACACACCTCTCCATATCTAACCACAGTCGTACAGGCAACATCACACCTGACAACTAACAGATCCTCTCTTAACACTTCACTCAATTATCTTAATTATAGTGGTAAAATACAGAGGAGACAATTAGCTGGCTTTGCACATCAAGACTTTTTTTCTGTACAGCAGATGACAACAAATTGAAAATTGATATTAAAGGTATTTGTGAAAACGAAACATGCTGCAAAACAATTATAAAAGAGTGACCACACAGACTGGATGATATCTAATTATAATAAATACGTATGAATCAGTGGTCTTGTATGTCCCCAAATAACTTGACAGATTTCCGTTCTAACAACAGACTTGTTTTCATGCGTGTGTGTGTGTGTGTGTGTGTGTGTGTGGGGGGGGGGGTAAAGCATACCTTTACAGCAGGTGCCCCCCAATTAAGACATGTCATTCCCTGGCAGTGACATTCCTGACATGATTCTATATTCTGCAGTTTTTGCTGACACATAAGCAAACACACACACACTCATACACACAAAAACACCATCATATATGCTAAATACCATCAATTTGCTATTCCAACACACACACACACACACGCACATACCTGTGGAGTGCAACCCAGTAAACCCAGTCGCAGAACGTTACTCCACTCCCCTTGTATTCTTTCTCTCTCTGGTTTCCACAGCCCAATGTGCTCACTTCAGTCACAGCTGTAAGTGCTGTTCACCTGTCAAACTCCACATCTGTAGCTCTCTCTCTTTTCTCCCTCCGTCTAAAGCTGTTGGTCACACGGAGGTTTGCGAATCTTTGCTCTGATGGTGGTTGCTACTGCCACTGACTTGTTGTACTTTAATTGTGGTTGCTAAGCGATAAGCTTCTCCAATTCTGCACACAGTGAGAAGGAGCGGACACGGGAGAGAGCGAGAGAGAAAGAGAGAGAGCGAGAGAAAGAGTGGGTGAGGGGTAGGATAGGTGGTGGGGAGGTAGGAGGAAATGCTCATTATAGACACAGTAGCCTGAAGAGAATGATCGGCAGTAGGAGGGGGGAAGGTTCACAGGAGTGAAGGTGCATGAATGAGAGACATGGATGGATGGAGGATAGGGGACCTCACATAGCAGGTGCACTACCTCTCTCTTGGGCAGCCTAATGCAACTTGAAACACTTAAGCCGAGGCAACCGCTCAGTTGGAGGATTTAACATAACTGCTTTAAATGGACAAGCATTTAGAAAATGTACGTTGAACATATTTCCTCCAAGCCCTGCCCTGGGTTTGGTAATGTTTTCCAATCAGGTTTTTAAGGACAATCCAGATGTGGAGTCAGCAGTAAATAAGCAGTGAGCTAATTAGGTATTTGTGCACTCTGCCACAGATCAGCGGTGCTAATTAACCATCTTTCATGTACACGTGTTTAAAGCTGATGAACTGCTCAAAGCGTGTATCTCTGCTATCAACAGCTGTGATGCCTCTTTTACTCAAAAATATGCAGGTTAAAGGAAAACAAGGGAACATTTCCCATTACCAGTAAAGGAATTTGCCTGTGTTTTTCATGAACGTTACAAAAACTGGGAAAGTCTCTCACTTCACTGTCTTGCCAATGTTACACATTGCATGATATGAAGAAAGGAAAGCTGTTGCACGTTGTTCCCATGATGATCGTTTATGTAAAGAACAAACTGCTTATTTACGCACCTGGGAGTTCAAAGAATGCATTAACGTTGCCCTGGAAAAAGTGCAGTGTCAGCATCTAGACTGCCAAAACAAAGAAGAAGAAATGCGTGTGTTCATCCACGTGTCATGTATCTATCACTGCCAATCGGCACCAGGGCCAATAAAAGCCTGTGTCTACTACAGAGTTATTTGATCAGGGATTGAATTCCTATTGAATACATTCCCAGACAAAAGACATTAGTGACCAGTGGGGAAAACAGGATCACTTGTCAGTGATGATGAGTGCTTTAGATGACATTTTTATTTAAAGTAAATAAGAATATAATTCGGCACAGTGTGTAATTACCAAAGTAAGGAATAGCATTTAGTAATCCGCAAACAAGGGGATATTTTAATAGATTTCCACTATGTCATTGTTTAAATTCAAAACTGAAAAGAGTTCTTCTAAAATGTAGTTTGGACCATCAAAGAGACCCCTCAAATTTCTATTAAGTAGAAACATGTCTTGTCTTTTTGCACAAACAAAAACAATCATCTCCCTTGGAGCAGGAGTAACAATGTAGTGCCAGACTACAGAGTCTGCCAGCCACTTTTACCTTTCAAAACCAGCTCTCACATGAAGCTCAGTCACATAGGACCTGTTGACGTATTCGTCAGGTAACCCCATACATGTAATTTAGGCTGACTGAGACCCTTAAACTGGCAGTCACCGTCTACTGTGCTTGTCTGATGTACCATCTGCATTCAATCTGACTAACATCTAAATCTATTCTGTTCTATTCATCCAGAATGAAAGAGGAGATGAATAAAAGCAAGTGCTATTACAGTAAATTGTGTATAAACGATGTGTTTTGTCTCATTTTGATCTTTCATGGATTTCTGGTAATAGTGATAAATAATTTACAATTAATTTCATA